AACTTACTAGTTTACCGATTGTCTTCAATTTTTTAAAAAAAAATGGAAACATGGAGGTGGGGAAAAATAATGATGAGGAGGAATAATATCAATGAAAAGTAAGAGTGACAATTAATGGTTTAGGTGGGGGGGGAAGAAAAAAAATTTACATGAAAAGAAAATCGCCAAAACACAAATTAACCAACAAAAAAAATTATGAAGGTAGGACATGGAAAATTTACCTTCAATCAATTGTATATCACTTGTATATACACATATCTACACATACATAGATATGTTAATAACAAGCTGCCTACCGGTGTACTAACATAATCAATCACATGAACAATAATGGAACAATGATAATGATAAATATGTATACATACAAACATAAACATGGATATACATAATGAATGGGAAAGATTTAAAGTGATAACGGTAATGAATGATGATCAATTGAAATATAAGTCAATTTCCTCAAATATATATATTTTTTTTTCTAAATAAAGGGGTTAATTATACCCGTCTTTGCATAGGGTATGGTTTAAACATATAAGATAAAAGGTATACCTTACACATGTAAACGTATACAGACACACATAGAGAGAACACTAAGAAATCATATTTATAACTTAAAGAGTATGTAGTAAGTATGTTCAGTGTCAAATTATGTTCATACTATTGATGTAGATGGTTAAATAACTTGTTTCATCATTTTTCATGCACACTATGATGGAGAACAGGTTTCTCCTTTTTTTTTTTCTAAAAAAAATCACCTTGTGATGATGATATAGTGTGAAAAATGATGAAACGAAAAAAGACAAAAACAATTTTCACCTTATCTGTTAACAGATTGAAAGATAAAAAAAAACACAGATCAGTAAGACATGAACCATTTATGAGTAAAGATTGTATGTTGATCATCATAATGATAAAGTTGTAATTGTCAAAAAAAGTAGAGAATCGAATAGTCAAAAGTAAAATGATAAACTGTTTATGTTCACATTTAAGATTGAGTTTTTCACACACTTTAGGGTACACAGATAAAAAAATTTTTTGCAATAATTCACATGTATATAAAGAAATATTAAATCTGAACAATAGGATCTTAATCATATCAATTACATTTTCTAAAATATTGAAATAATCTGTGAATGCCCACTGCTGAGGAGTCCCACAATAGAACGAGAGGGTCGTTCAGTGTTTCCAGGTTTTCCATGGTGGTCTAGCTTCAATTGACTCATGATTTCAACTATATCTAAAAAAATTACTAAAAACCTCCACCAAAAACTTCCATATCATATGCTTACTAGTGACTGGCTCCATGAGATATTTACTGGAGTTCTAGTGAGAATCAGTAACCAGTGGAGTTCAACCAGGTCTGTTGTGAGATATCAACTCATTGAAGAAATTGGTGAATGGTTGCTCAACTTCGTGGATTGGTTGAAGTTAACCATTAACATCAATGAATGTTAACTCAGTGGTCAATCGGTTAAGTGCTCTGACGCGAGACTGGTAGTTCCTGGGTTGGAATCTCGCTCGCGTGTGGGATCGTGGATGCGCCCTGCTGAGGAGTCCCGTAATGGGACGAGTTGGCCGTCCAGTGATTCGAGGTTTTCCCTGGTTGTCAAGTTTCAATTGACTCATGATCTCAACTATATAAAATTACTAACAACATATTAAAAGCCTAAGTACAAACCTCTAATCACAGCTAAACATTATATTAGTCCGTATAATAAGATAATAAACCAAAAGTCTTGGATTCGAATCCTTGTGCAGAATCGTGGATGCATACTGCCGAGGAGTCTTATCCTAGGACGGAACAACCATCCAGTACTTCCAGGTTTTCAATGGTTATCTAGCTTAGATTGATTTATGAATTCAACTTTGAAAATAAAAATAGTTCGATGAGTTATGAATTTTCAATTCATTTAGTATTGTTTGTTTGAATCTTCTCATCGATGGGTGAGTGGATAACACGATGACGTTTGAAGCGAATAGTAGTGGGTTCGAGTCACAGAGTGAACATCAACTCTAAGATTCAGGCACATCCAGCTGACGAGTACCAAATAGGACGAAACACTTGTCAAACTGGATTCCACTACTAGCTATTATCCATTTTTGCTTACAGTTATGAATTTACTTAATAATTTAAATATATATATATATCTAATGGGATATATAGGTGTAATTTGTTTAATTTATTCAGCCTATTGTTTTGTACAACGCAACATAAAAACAAACAAACAAATAAGTAATGGTTAAAAGTGTAATTAATTTATTTGACCTAATTTCTTTCTTTTTTTGTTGTTGTTAAATTACACAAAACTATTTCCAATTAAATAATCATCATCATATCGGATCAACAGCATTATTATTGAAAGACTATGTAGTTGTATAGGAGAAATTAATCAAATGATTAGTTTGTTTATTAATGAATAGTTAAATAAATTGAGTGCTAATCTAAGAAATAAGTACCCAAGGTAAACCATTTACTACTACTAATAATAATAATCATAGTCATAGTAGATAATCATAAGTGGTAATCATGTAGTATTATTACCATTACCACTCTGATATCCCTTTCCCATTTGTAGGTTTCAATATAATTGAGTGATATTACTTAGATGAGATGTATTTTTTTTATTTTATTATAAAAAAATGATGGATTTATTAAAGGTGAACATAAATCATATAAGTAAAAATCTCCCTATATGTATGTATATACGTTAATAGTGTCCCCTTTTTTTTAAAAAAAATAAATAAATAAAATACTTTAAATGGATATATGAAATGAACACTATTCAACAGTTAATCTAAATTTTTTTTTAAGTATTGAAAGAGATTTTTCTGTTAGTGATATGTATGTAAAAAAAAGTAATGTTCATGATGAAGAAATTAACCTTAGTTTACTAATGTATATTATAGAAGGGGTTTTGTGGAGATTTAGTATTTATCATTGTTGAAAGCGTGAGTCAATTGAAGCTAGACCACCATGGAAAACCTGGAAACACTGGACGGCCGTTTCGTCCTATTATGGGACTCCTCAACAGTGCGCATCCACGAACCTGCTCTCGCGAGCGAGTTTCGAACCCAGGAGTGTTTCCAGGTTTTCCATGGTGGTCTAGCTTCAATTGACTCACGCTTTCAACAATGATAAATACTAAATCTCCACAAAACCCCTTCTATAATTAATATAATAATATGCTCATTAGTGATTTCGAGAAGTATATCTAGGAGCTCTAGTGAGAAGCAGTGACCAGTGGAGTTCAAACCACATCTATTGTGAGATAGGAACTCACTGAAGACAATTGGTGAATGGTTGCTCAACTTCGTGGATCAGTTGAAGTTAGACATTAACACCGTTGGATGCCAGCTCAGTGGTCTATCGGTTAAGGGCTTCGGCTCGAGACTGGTAGGTCCTGGGTTCGAATCTCGCTCGCGAGAGCAGGTTCGTGGATGCGCACTGTTGAGGAGTCCCATAATAGGACGAAACGGCCGTCCAGTGTTTCCAGGTTTTCCATGGTGGTCTAGCTTCAATTGACTCACGCTTTCAATAATGTATATTAGACATTTTCTAACCATGATAATAGTATATAGTTGAAATCATGAGTCGATTGAAGCTAGAAAACCATGGAAAACCTAGGAGCATTGAACGGCCAACTCGTCCTATTATGGGACTCCTTAGTAGTACGCATCCACGATTCCACCTCACGAGATTCGAACGCAGGACCTATCAGTTTTGCGCGCGAGCGCTTAACCTCCAGACTACTGAGCCGGTGGATGCTGGGATCATGGATGAGCACTGCTGAGGAGTCCCACAATACGACGAAATGGCCATCCAGTGCTTTCAGGTTTTCCATGGTAGTCTAGCTTCAATTAACTCATGATTTCAACTATATATAAAAATTACTAAAAATCTCTACAAGCAACCCCTTATTAGATCACTAGTTTGATATCTATTTGTATGCATTTTCAATTTTACGTGTTAATTTTAAAACAATCAGATAACTTCCTCACTATTCACAGTTTATCTTAATGCGTAAAAATGGTGTTAGAGATTATATTTTTAAAAGAACTGAACGTAAATCTATTCATGTGAAGCATTATTACACAGGAGGTTGGTCGCGATCCGAATAGCTCAGTGGTAACGTCTCTGACTGTGAAGCTGAGTGACGCGGGATCGAATCCGTCAGGGAGCATCAGTTCCCTCAGGATTACAGGTACACCTTGCTGACGAGTTCCAAGTAGCACGAAACCCGGGTCCACGGTTTCCTGTTGACCACCTCCAACCACCATCTTACCTCATTATTACACATTAATTTAGAACTCATGGTTTTTAAATTAAGCTGTATGAGAAACGTTAACATATATATCATAACATCTGACACATGCATATTGGAATTGTTTTCCGCAGTCATATGGGAAAAAATAGAACTGAAAAGAACTGCACTAACATTAACATGTATTGTAATGATACATTCACTTCAATATACATAAGATTCGTTATTTTTTAAAATCTAACCAGCTTTAATTATCAAAGGATAAAGGTTTAACTATAAAAAGATACTTTCTAAATTAAGTCATTAAGTTTAGAAAGCTTCATGATACACACTCATACTAAATACAGTTACTAGTAATAGTGATTTCTGCACATGTATTTATCGCTACAATAACATGAAACTAACTTTTTTGTATTGAACAATCAGTAAACGTGATAGACATTTCTTATACATAAAGACAGTATTTAAAACAATAGAAATAATAATGACAATCAATTTGTCATAGTCAGAATACAGCTTGGTACAAATGCACGTTAGCTCGAGTTACCGTACCATAGTACCACAAGAAGATGAATAGAAAAGGATTTGAAATAATTGTAGTGATAATGGTAATGAGGAAAATCAAACTTTGCGAGCATACTTCAAAAAGATAATGAAATTTATGCGGGAATGATAACTAATAATAATAATAATAATAATAATAATAATAATAATAATAATAATAATGAACTAACCAACCTGCAATAGATAAATATTGTTTTTGACGAAATTTTCTTTCTAATGCTAATAACTGTTGAGTTGTAAATGGAGTTCTTGGTCGACGATTTGGTTTATGCTTACGTAATGTACACTTTTGTGGGATAGATCGAGCTAAGAAGAGAAATTTAAGGAAAAATAACTTGTTTTATTAAATAAATAAGTATATGAGTAAAGAACTAATTTGTACAGATATATTCAATGTAAAATAAGTGGTGATCATTTATCAGTTATCAATGTTGTGTTAACGAAATTCCAATGTTGCTAATGGTCTCTGAGACACCAAATATCGTGATACATTTCATTTGATATCATCAATGGTAAACAAAAAAATGGCTCGGAAATTTATCTCAAGTTAGTTGGAACATTTTGATGGAAAATATTCCTCATGAAATTTAACCGGCCAAAGATATTATCGTTGAACAATATGAGGGTTGAGTGATCAATTTATAGTACAAACAACTTGACATTACAACACAAAACAATTTAATGATCAATTAGCGTCCTAGTCTTTTTGGAGGTCACTTTACTTCTATAGTGTTATTCAATATGGGATTTATGAGTAGTTATGGAGTTGATATTCATGTCGTATGTCCAAGAAATTTGTGATAATATACTATTAACCTATGAAATATATAAGCTAATGGATAAGGAATTTACATTTTGCATGTACCTATTAAATGCTTCATCTATCCGCTCTTTTATAAATAATAGGATGGAAAGAAATATTATGTAAAATCTCAAATATTTCCCTTATAATATGCAAAAATGTGATTGAAATAATGTGAAAAATCACAACTGAATGCCTTTCATTCATTTAGTTTAATTTATTCATCAATCTACTTCCCGGTACTATTTCCGTCTGTTTTCGGAGAAGTTAACAGATGATTAAATGGCCAATACTTGAATAACATATTGATAAGAACTGTAGGAACCTTGAATCTCTCCTTAATATAACAGATGTATTCATTAAAGCGTACTAAACATCATGAAACTAAAGTTGGTAATAACCTGTCTAGTGTTTTTACCCCTATATTATTAAGAAAATGAACTGTAGTGTCAAATCAATTAGTTCAGTAGTTACATCTTTGAAAAAATCGACTAATGCTGAGAGCTAAACGACAGAACTTTAGTTATTACCTAATGAATAAAGCTTGCATGTAAGTTGTATTTATGTTCAAATCATAATTAATATGAGACTTACATTAATATTTATTAATTATGTGAACACATAAATATTGGCACAGAGGGGCACCGAATACAAATGCGCCACACAAGTCACTTGATTTGTGTGTGAACTATGATATTGCCCGGGTCACACCTGAAGCCTTTGACCTAAAGATCTGATCCACAAGACAGTGGAGACTTATACATTACTTCAAGTTTTGTGTACTTAAATGCAATCTATAAGAGCTGTATGGAAGCTTATAATACTACTTAACTTACAGTGGATAAGATAAATCTGAATTCACTATGTATTAATAACAAACCGATTAAGATGTAATTTATTAACTAACTATCAGTTTTTGCACTTAGCTTTGAACCAACCGTTAACTATGACAATTAGTTGTATAATCCGTTTGCTTAAAACAGGACTAATTAAAGCTAGGGTTGAGCTCACAATCAAATGGTTGAAATTTGTGTGCGCTGAACACTAAACAATCAATCCATAATATTAAAATCATTACTTCACAAACTATGTTAAGAAAAACAAAATCTTCACAATATTCATTTACATGTTATTACTATTTTCTAAATAAGTAGTAAATAGCGAATAGTTTACTGTTCCAAGAACTAATTTCTTTTAAGGAAAAACTACAAATTTAAATGTTTCTTTCTTATGTATACTTATGCAGTAAAAACCAAATCTACTAAGTTAACTAAACATAAATCTAAATGGAATATTGAGTATGTAAAATCAACTGATAATAATTAAAATGTAAAACCTCCCTCGATTTGTCTGACACAAAGTAGAGTAAATCTCAACACAAAGGGACAAATAGAACTATGTTTCAAGATATTCCTCACTATAATGAAATGTCATATGAAAAGGAAAACAAATGGAACATAACTATTTGGTTTTTTAATTGAAGAAAAATTTTGCTGTATTTATAAACAGTTGTTTAAGCAAAATACTCAATATTCACTGGCCGGATAGTATCAGCAACAGCGTTTTATAGGAGAGGACAAACCAGCAGGTTCCAGATGAAGAAGAAATTAGGAAAAGACGTTAGAAGTGGATAAGACATATATTGAGGAAATCACAGGACTGCATCACGGGGCAAGCCCTAACTTGGAATCCTGAAGGGAAGCGGAAAAGAGGAAGGCCAAAGAACACATTACGTCGGGAAATAGAAGCAGATATGAAAAGGATGAATGTTAACTGGAAAGAAGTGGAAAGGAAGGCTCAGGACAGAGTTGGATGGAGTAAGTAAGTAAGTAAGTTTGCAGACACCATTTTAATATGTTGGTATTATTCATCACGGATTGAATCAATGAAAACTAGAGAGCACACTAGACAGCTGTTTTGTTTTAATATTAGTGTGAATCTTTATTTTCCTCAATGATCTCCTTCTATATGTTGTCATGAAGAACTGAAATTTTTAAATTCTGATAACAAGTACATTGGAAATTGACCACTCTCTTCAAAAATGAATCAATTCTCTATACAAACTGAACTGAATTCAAATTCACTTAGTATTGTTTGTTTGAATCTTCCCATTGATGTTTAGGACTGCAACTGGTCAGTCTTCTTTTGGCATATGTGCATACTGTGCATATTGCATCGATATAGCCTAAATTCACAAGCATGGTAAGCAAAGATGGATAGTGGCTAGCAGTAATCACCCCATTGCACAAGCAAGTGGCTATCAGGATTCAGTGGCTAAATGGATAACGCGATGGCGTTTGAAGCGAACAGTAGTGGGATCGAGTCACAGAGTGAACATTAAATCTGAGATGCAGACACATCCAGCTGACAAGTTCGGAATAGGACGAAACGCGCTTCCTGGATTCCACTTTTAGTCACTATTCATCTTTGAACTGAATTCAGTTCATATTGTTTATTTGTATAAAACAACTATTCAATGAAAATCATAAATCATAAACGAATATGAAACTATGCGGAATAACTTACAATAATCAAAGAGATTATATTTACATATACATGTATACCGGAAAGTAGAATGTTTAATTACACAGTTAATCAACACATAAACTCCTTATTACTATTCACAGTAATTAGTTTATTAAGCATATTCAGTAAAGTTTTATTTCTTATATAACAATAGGATTGTTATAATGTGAACTCATTTACAGGTCAGTAATTATTTTAATCAGGCCAGTAATATATTTACTAATTAATAATTACAATAAACAATGTGTCAGGAATGATTAAATGTATTTCATATAATGAATATATATAATTTTCTAAGGATATAACTGCCGTCTAAGCTGTCCAAATCATTTTTTCTTACAAAACATCTACATAAACTACAATGAAGTACTGATAAATAACAAGATGGATGTGGCGGAGTGAGTGGGTAAAGAGGAGTTCTTCATCAGTCTAATTGTGAAATCATAATTTCTAAAGTTATTCGAATTGGAAATAAATAATCAGATCTATTCATAAATTCAGTTTAATAACCAATTAGCTAAGGTTAAGTTTAGAAACTAATACATTGTGATCATGTATTTGAAAGATGATGGTAATATTAGAAGTCAACAAAAGACTTTTAAAAGTTATGGGTCATATGATCATATGTGTGGTTGCAGAGGTTCGGCATCGTGTGTTTGGGAGCAGAGACAATAATTCAATTGGTGTCACCATCTTGAAACACCGATTTCGGTGGCTTGGACATGTTCTACGAATGTCGTCCCAGAGAATTCCACGTCGTGCATTATTTGCCGACGCTGGAACTGGTTGGAAAAAGCGGAGAGGTGGTCTGTGTATGACATGATGTCGTGGTATGAAAGAAAGCTGCAAAGCTAGCTTCTGTTGGTCCTTCACGACTCCCTGGCTGGGGTCTGAGAGATGGTGCAACACAGTGACTAGAGACGTTATCAGATATGGCTCAGAATAGAAGCCAGTGGCGAGCCTGCTGTAACCTTCTTTTACTTTCTTCATAAAGAGTGGATATAACTTTCTTAACTGAAAGAGTTTTTCTGGTTGTACATTTCAGTTCCCCCCATCATTACTCTCCTATTTTTTCATCCTTTTATATATACGCATCTTCGCCCTTTCTCCTCCCATTCTCATTATTTTGTGTGGCGCATATGTATCTGGTGCCCTTTTGTACCAATATGTATGTGTTTAAATAAATAAATAAATGTGAGGTTGTAGATTAGCATTGTTGAGATGCTTCAATTTACAATAAAAACAGATATCTAGTGTTCTTTGTTTTTTTTACGGATACTTGATCTGTTATTATTTTGTAGCAGAAACCATCTTCAAACTTCCATATACTCAGTAAAGTCTAGTCATCATAAGACATGGTACGAATGTGTACCAGTTCAAACTAATATAAACCATTTCAGGACAGAGTAATAAGAAATTAAAATATGCTAAACACAAGAAGAAATATAAGCTAAATAAGTATATATTTATTCCATATTGTTAGTGGGCGAATCCAAGATAATTCAACCATATAGAGAGCTGCAAGTTCAAGGTGAACTACAATAAATCGAGCCGACAATCAACTGTGTACTCAGCTATGTTAATTCATTAAAATTAGTATGATCAATGCCATATGTTGAATACATATTCATCTATTCATTTTGGGACTAGACTTACAATGCGATGGAAAGAATATTTTAACATCATGGTTACATAACATCAAGCATGGAATTACTTTAAAAGATCTACATTACTGTATTAGATTAAACAATGTTCAGGACCATTCACAACCAAGCAATGGATTATATCAGTAATTAAAATTATTTTGTTGGTTTAGTTTTTGTGGCAGTTAGTTTAATTTGTAAATTGTATTCATCGCAGATTGATTTGATTTAGGTGACTTTTGAGGTGGATACGACACACATTGCCAAAATAATCAAACTTCACCACAAAGCAAGCTCCAACTCAAAATCCTCAAGACAAAAAGAAAAGAAGCAGACCAAATAACACATTGGTCTGGGAATTGAAGGCAGACACTAAAAGAATAAATAGCACTTGGCAACAACTGGAAAGGAGAGTCTTAGTGTGGACGCCTCGGAATTTTTATGAACAAATCCAACAAGGATTGAACCTACGACCTGAAATCTCGCGGCTAATACTTATTTATTAGAACCTCAGGGTCCGTGTCCAATAGTATGATCTCAACTCTAATCAATTGATGACATAGATGGTCGACCGTCCAATGCAATTCATAATATCATTAGTTCATTATGAAAAATCGTTTATTGTTTTGATGTTCAATGCTTTTTGATTTAAACTGATTATTCAACTAAGTTGAGTCTGTGATATATGCTACAAAACACAACAGTCTCCACAAATCCCTCATGCTAATAAGATACATTAAATCAACATGTGGAAAATAAATTTAGACTGTTGCATAACATTCCTCTTCCGTCAAGTTCAGGCACCATATAAAAATCATCCATTCAAACAAGCAGTGGTCTAGTGAATATACTGCTTTATTAGCAACAATTTGAGTTACGGGTTTCAATCTCAAAAAATATATTATGATTTCAGTAGTGAAAATCTCATTCAAAGAGAGTATAACTACATCACACAGACAAATGTACAGTTGATTGACTACTGAACAGTAAAGTGTCATATTTGTGTAGTCATTAGTGCTAATAGAGTGTTATGTTACAATCTGGCCACTATTTTAAAGAATTCTATATCCCCTGCACTGTATTGAGATTTTAGGCGGTTGGAGACAGTAGAAAATACTAAACATATGTACCGTATTAGTTGGTACTCGTTGGCAAGGTATATTTACAGTACTATGTGAACTAATGCTTCTTTCAAGATTCAAACTCAAGTCATTTAGTTTCATAGTTTTAGATGTTTATACTGAGTTATTCGAACAGTGGATGCAGTAACAAATGTGTTCCTGATCACTGAGTCATAATCATAATTTCAAAAGTTAGCAAAATAGGTTTCAATGAAGAAGAAGAAGAAACAGGAGGATAAAACATTTTGCATATTAAAATGTCTACATTTACACATCAATTGTAGAAATACAACAACATTGTAAACACTTTATATTTTGAGTTTAACAAAATAAACAATAAATGTATCTAAAGAATGGATCTGTTGAGAATTTTGGGAGATTTGTTTCGTCCTATTTATAACTCATAAGATGGATGTGACTACTGACGTTCGAACTCAGTACCTTCCACTTCGAATGACGAGTTATATATTCACTGAGCTGAAAATTGAAAACGGCACAGTTCAAATCCATACTAATAACGACATGAAAAAGATCCACAATGAACATAGGATCGATGTAAACTAAGACACTATGGTCCATAGAGTGACTCGTTCTGATGACCTTATAAGACTGAATGTGTGTTGTATGCCAAACAATTTTTGTAATATATAAACTACATTAAGTTCCGAAACATTTTTAATATCACTAAAATAAATAATTAGGAGTTAGTTCGTTTACTAATTACACATGATTATTTATTCAATTGGTTGTTCGAACTAGAAGACGAGTGGACAAGATTCTAGCCTTAAAAGTTGACTAATTAAAAACTATACACTATTGAAATTATGGTCACCATGTACGTCCACGAGTGAATGCTATCGGAGGTGCTGTATTCTCTGATTTATACGGTTTAATTTGAGAGCTTTCATTGTCGTTCTGGACACAATTTCGAAGCTTACTTAATGTAGAAGAGCACTTTCCAGCTATTCCACAATGGTTACATCAGCTCGCTCCGATGGCTTTCTTTGTAGTTGGTTGTCTTAATGGATTTTGTCGTCTTCGTTTATCTTTGTATTCATGCTGACTGTCTTTGCCAATTAACCTCTACTTTTTTGGTGGTGTGGTGTTCTCTGAGCTACGTCGTTTAATTGTTGAGGTCAGCCAGTAATGACGGTCGGCATGAATGCAAAGACAAGGGAAGACAACAAAATTCACTAAGACAGCCAATTACAAGCAAGACCATTGGAATGAACTGATGTAACTATTGTAGAATAGCTGGAAGGTTCACTTTTTGATAAAGTAAGCTTTGAAAATGTGTATCTAAAATGACAAAGAAAGCTCTCAAATTAAACCGTATAACTCAGAAAATTCAACACCACCGAAAACCGTATATTGTATGTCGAGAAGTGACTTAGTGGTTAAGGTGTTCAACTTTTAGTCATTAGGTCACAGGGCTAAACCTCGATCGATCTACTTCCGGTATGCTGTGATCACCAAACTATTACTGATAAAATTATTAAATTATCAACTACTTTTATGTCCGAAACAATCAAATGATATTCACATTTCAATCAATTGCATTTATATAATTTAACATTCAGAAAACATACATAAATTATATTCTAACAGAGAAGCTATACGATTTTTCTCATGACTATTTCTATCTATTTTTATTTAGACCAAATTTATTGAATCAAACCAACTTTACATAAGTTATTTACTAAACATAGATTAATATACTTGGCTTGAAGTTACATTATCTGTGAGGGTGGTTTAACGACACTAACCCATTGTTCAAGCTGGATTAAATGAAGCTAAGTCGTAAAACATGATTTGATTGTTAAGAATCAATTACTTTGACCGTTAATAAACCACCTGTTACAATTTTGCTGAGCAGCTAAGGATTTAATAATGGATCAATCAAAACTAAACTTGATCATAATGAATTTCATACTAGAAGTTTTTATTAAACTAAAGTGAATATGCTATTTTCATAACCAATTAAAAAGAAAATGACTGATTAATTTTTTTACATGGAATGTGATAGTGACTAACCGTGGAATCATCATCATGTTTCGTCCTAGTTGGGACTCGTCATCTGGATCTATCTACACTCCAGTGTTACCGTTCATATGTTTACTAAAACCCAGTACCTTCCACTTCAAATATCCAAACACATTGTCCACAAACCTATTGAATCCCAATCGCTGCATGCTCGTACGGTGAAATAAATAGTTACTCTTTTGACCGAAAAAGTAGTATACCATATAGTGTAAAATGAATATTTGGTAATGTATTCTAAGATCGTTAGTCCGAATATCGCTCCGTAAAGCCTGTCAAGATGAAACTAAATTCTGAAAAAGTTATGGTTAGATTGCAATAAAATATTTCTAATGTGCTGTATAACTCCGCCTGTAGCTCCTCCGGGGTTACTGCCAGTCCCAAGCCCGGGTAAAGGAGGAGGGTTGGGCATGGGGTTAGCGACCCCATCCCGTAGAAAACCAACTCGCTAAAAAAGCGCTAACCAGAAAAATGTGCTGGTCGGCGGCCTATGCTCCATTGGGAGTAACAGGCGTAAGTAAGTAAGTAAGTGTACTGTATACATTATGATTAAAATTGGGGAAATATAAAAATAGAAAGGGTAAATTTCATTGACTTACATCCAATGGCACTATTACTAAATGTTAAATAATCATTAAATGATAATTCATGTAATGAATTAAAAAAGTTATGCTTCTTAAAATAAGACATTTGATTATGATTTATTTCATTATCTATATGATTACTACTATTTATATGATTGCCAGTAGTATCTTTACTTGAATAATTATAGGATGATAAACTTGTAGAAATTTTATTATTTTGATTTATTCTTGATGATTTAACATCATGATGCTTTTTAAGTTTATTAGTAAACTTTTCTTCACTTCCATTATCATGATTAGATTTCCCATGTGATTTTTTACCATTAACTTTAGTTTCATTGAATAACGAGGTGGTTCTGTTGTTATGATGGTTATTATTATTATTATTATTATTATCACTGTTACTAATGTTACAATTATTATTATTATCATCATCATCATCATCAATTTCTGGATGAATAGAATTTTTGAGCCCTGAGTTATTTTTGTCAGAATTATCCAGATAGCAACAATGATTGCAACTATCATTGTCGATATTTTCGTTATCCCCATCATCGTCGTCATCATCATCAGCAGCATCGTCGTCGTCGTCTTCGTCATCATCATCATTATCATTGCCACCATCGTCATTATTAGCACTACCATCAATATCGTCATCATCTAACAAGGCATCTATTGAAAAATGTAATTGTTTTGATACTTTTGTCATGACTGTATTCTCATTGTCTGTGTGAATATTTCTCAATGTACTATCATGAGTTTTTATTTCCGTACGTTGGTTACAATGTGGAAAATAATTGGATGTATTTGATAAGTTCTCTTCCATATTCTCATAATCCATTGAGTTATTCAACATTTTATTGGAAAACAATAATGATTACTACTGTTATTGTTATTCAACTAGTAATTATTAACAATAATAATTAAATAATTTTCATTTTCTAATTCATTCAATATAAGAACGCTAATTGTTGATTTACTGACCAATCAAAATAAAATAATATTATGTAAATGAAAAATTAAGCGCTTCATATTAACCAATCATAATTGAGTAAATTTTTTATCCATCTAATAAATGTAGCCAATGAAATTTCTTACAGCAAGTTAGGTACAGAATGTATTTAGAGTGAAATTTAAAATATAAAAAAACTATTTGTTGACATCATAAGCAAAGATGGATAGTGGCTAGTAGTGAAATACAGTTTGACGCGCGTTTCGTCCTATTCGGGACTCGTCAGTTGGATGTACCTACATCTCAGAGAGTTGATGTTCACTCTGCGACTCAAACCTAATAGGTTTCGCTTCAAATGCCATCGCATTATCCACTCAGCTATTGAGTCCTGATAGCCACTTGCTTCTGTAATGGGGTGAAGTTTAAATTCACTTAGTATTGTTTGTTTGAATGGCATATATGGCCAATTAGAGACTGACCAGTTGCAGTCGTAAACATCAATGGGAAGATTCAAATACACAATACCAAGTGAATTTATTTGTTGGCAGTTTTCACAGATGCTGTCATAATGAAAGAGTTGAGTAGTGAATATTTGGTATATGATTTACTACATCATAAAATCAGAAATTATAATTACTAAAATCTACTCATTAATCTTAAGTTTTATAGATTTAAATTATAAGTGAAATAAATTATTTAGCTAGTAATAAATCTTTTTAATGTCAGTGAGTAAATATTTAAAATTTCATTCACCCGGTTGACAACTACTGAACTTTGGTGTACAGAGTAAGTTACGTAGAATTCAGATTAATGAATGGTTCCCAGTAGTTACTAAGGTTATCTAAAGACAGTGAGTGATGTCAACTGAAATTGTTTTTAAAATAATTACAAATAATTAACGAAATCAGATGAAGAAATTCACGTGAGTGTAAACAGCCTAGTTTTATTTAAAATTAATCTTTTCCAAAATAGCGACATTGCTTAGTTACGCTTGTTGCTCCTCGTGGAAGAGCATAGGCCATCCATCAACATTCTTCATCCAAATCCGTCCTGAACATTGCTTTCTACCGGTTTCCTGTTTCTATTCGTTCTTTTTATGTCTGTTTCCGATTCCCGATGCAGTTTGATGATTTCCTCAATGTTTGTCCTATCCACTTCCAACGTCTTTTTCTAATTTCCTCAACTGGAAGTTGGTTTGTCCTTTCCCACAGTAGACTGTTGCTGATAGTATCCAGTCAATTAACATCAAGTATTTTGTGTGGAAAATTGTTGATAAATACTGGTATTTTTTAGTCTTAATTATAAGCTTTCACTTACTTTGATAGATATTTGTGTATGTTTTACTATTCCTAAATTATCGGCAATCAATTATTCACCTGTTGTTAAATTTAGTATAAATTACAACTTAGTTGTGCACAGCTTATAGTTTTTTCTTGTTTATAATGAAAGATAGTCAGCTAGGTGTTGTATATAACATTACAAGTTTCTGGTTCTTAATCCTTGGAGGTATATTAGCTTGCTGCCTTCGTTTTCTGACTGCGTATTGAGGATAAATGGAATTTGAGCTGAATAAATTAGAATTAGGGTTATGTGGTCAATTCACACGATTACCGTAAATGAGTCCGTGATAAATGAAGTCTCTAATTTCATGAACCGATTACTTGAGAGTATAAGTAGTTGAAGGTTATGACAATCAACATTGCACCAAAAATATAATATTGAATAAACCCACTGATAATTATGATAATATATAATAATAATTATAACGAGAATAATTATTTAAAGTGTATATATTTGAAATTAAGCTGAAATTACTAAGTGCTGTGGTACTATACTGTTTAGCATAGAACAACGGAATGAAAGTGATAGGTTTCGTCATTAACCAATATCTAAATCACTATCAACTTGACAATCTGGGTAATGTCATACATTTAAGTAATTCACATACCAACAGAGACTTACCAGTTTAGTTCTGAGTAATGAAAAACGAAATGTATAAAGCTTTACAATGAATAATGAATACCATAGATGTTAAAATATTGACGGATATAGTGAGATACTAACCAGCTGACTTTTCGCTAGGAAATCTATTACCAATAGATAACAGATATAATTGCTTGGACAATAAATTGTCCCAAGTGATTAAAACGTTTCTTCGATTGCTGTACATCAGTTTTTTAGATTCCAAGCTAAAAAAAACCATCATGATCAGTGATAATGCTCATTTTACTAATGAAATATTTCACATAATTTTGGACATTTAAAAGGAATGCACTAGGAGTGGTAGAGCTATATTTTGTCTTAGTCGAAACTCGTCAATGAGATATGTTTGTATTATTGAAAGAACTTTTAGTCTTGGAAAAATTTAGTTCAGTTAAAGTCAATATCATTGTCAGAGACTTTAACATTCAGTTATTCAGGTGGATTACCGTCAATGGTCTAAAATACATACAAAGTAAATGACAATATCAAATCACCTGACGTAATAGTCATATTCCAGCCATTATCTAAGTTTTTCACTTGTTATTAGAGATTAGACAATGTAATCTCTATTCACTGAGTGATGAACAATATTATATTTAGCTAGTCCTTAGTCTTAATCGAATTATGTTGACCAAGTTGTATTGTGGTTACTAATCTATTTATTAATTTAGCACCAATTGAACTCAGATTTTAAGACAGGGTGGTTGGATTCAATCAAACCCGCATTTATTTCTGGTAGACAGTGGTCAATAAGATGAACCTGCAATATTAAAGGCACTGAGAGTCCATTGCATGAGTCACTTCTTGTCGATAAGCCTATGTAAATACCTCAATACTACAAGAAGTTATTTGAAGCTAGAATTATACAGTGATGGTATCGTAGACTGTAAGGCTTGGAAAGGTGATCTGGATTCACTGCAAGCACCCTTTCAAGATTAAAGGTATAAGAAACGAAGACTTGGTTGAAATGAACCAATTTATTGTGCTGAGCAAAACTACACAGTACATATGAAAAAATTTGGAAACAGCATATTTAGTACATCACTTGTGTGTCTTCCTTAAGTTGTCTCTTACAAGCTTCATTGTTCTTTAAGTCCTGTTGTCACTCAGACCGCTTCTTTCATTCTTTCTCTTCATGTTTTCCTTCTGTCAGTAAGAGTCCTACTTCCAGTTTTGACACACACTACTTATATCTGTCCGTATAAGTAGCATACACCACACAAGTGCTAACTAGGACAAAACCTAGGTTCAGAGTATCCTGGCAACTATTCTTAACAGCCTAACACTAAATATCGGATATTATTATTTTAATTCAGGGATTGATTAGTGTATTCATTTAATATCTATGAGCTATTTACAAAGACCAAATGACTATTTTTCATGTAAAATGATTGAGATTTTTCTCATAAATCTAACATTATTTCAATAACTCATCAATTCATTCTCAAAGTTTCATGGTAAAGTTTTGATTATCTTTTAGTAAAATTACTAATGTAGTATCTGTTTTTAAAGATTTTAGAGCCCATTTTGGTCTATTGCATTTTAAGTACGTTTTAATTTTCAAGTAGTCACCATAAGTGTTACCACATTTGAATTTTTAATCAATTAATAGATGAAACGAATACCTAGTGAAATGAATACTAATAGGATATAAATCTTCATTTGTAAATAAGTTTCGTGGAAATTAGTTTAATTTGTAGGTTGTATTGATCATCGATTGCTTACGTTTATATGACCAGAGAAAATCATGAAGCAATCGTCCTAGAATGAGATTGCTCAGTAATATGCTTGCACAAACCCACCAGCAATCGAACCCAGGATGTTCAAGTCTTGTTGGGAATATTAGACGAATTTCTCTCTAATATTGATCGGATAATTAATACTGTCATGGTGAATACAAAGTGATAAGTAAAAGATCTTATAACAATTATCATCATAGGCTGAAATATCCAACAATTGGTAAATATAATAAACATGTGGCGTTATAGAATATTTCAATTTAATATACTTAGTATTGTTTGTTTGAATCTTCTCATTGATGTTCAGGACTGCAACTGGTCAGTCTGTAATTGGCACAGTATGAACATATTCAAATTAGAGACTGAACAGTTGCAGTCCTAACAAATCTATAGGAAGATTCAAACAAACAATACTAAGTGAATTTAAACTTCATCCCATTGCACAAGCAAGTGGCTATCAGGACTCATTGGCCCAGTGGATAACGCGATGGCATTTGAAGCGAAACCTATTAGGTTCGAGTCCCAGAGTGAACATCAACTCTCTGAGATGTAGGTACATCCAACTGACGAGTCCCGAGTAGGACGAAACGCGCGTCAAACTGTATTTCACTACTAGCCACTATCCATCTTTGCTTACAATTTCAATTTAATGTTTAAACTATGTAATAAATGTTTGTGAGTGTGAATAATTTTTGCATAGAAAAACTGACCAATTCAAATTCGAGTTGAATACATATATTGATATCGAAAACTAGTAAACTTTCAAGTGTCTTACAGTACACCAATTGACATTATTATACACATACACTTATTATAAAGTTCTCTGTTCGAACCAGACAACAACAATATGAAGTTGGGTTTTTTCTTCTTCTTTTTGCTAACTATCGTTGTCATCAGATTCATGTAATATGTACTGCTTACTGTTTTTTTTTTAAAAAAAAGAAAAAAAACATCTAATTAAAACTACATAAAATAGCCTAATTACTTGTTGTAATTGCATTAATATGTAAATTTGTGAAAGCATTAATTTCGTGTCAAAAATTTAGTAAAATTTCGTTTTGCTGACAACATATATGTATATGTATGTATGTATGTATGTATGTATGTGTGCGTGTGTGAAATGAAAGTACACAACCATATAGGATAAGGTATAACGTGTAAGAAAAATGGAATAACTCATCGCTTCAACTAACTTTGATTTCTTCTCTTTTTTTACAGACCTCATCAGAAGCATCGAATGTGTACGTAAATATTCGATATCTCATTCAATACATTCAATAATTTGATCATAAATATCATG